AAATATGGAAACAGGTTAAAGGAACTAAAAAAAATATTCTACTGCTAGAAAATACATTAAAGCACCAAACTAATAATTGTTCACAACAGTTGAGGCTTCATCAGATTTCACTTTCTTCACACTCTTGAAAGTTCAAGGTAACTCAAGGTAACTGAAGTCAGTTAGTAGAGCACCTTCAAAATGCGATTGAAAATTAGGTGTCACGCTCCTTCAACTGAGATTATAGAGGTGGATGAGGCAAAATTTCGTAGTCCATCTCGTTCTATCTCTGGAAGCGTCGGGTCCACTAAATGTGCCCTGCGGCCGGTAATGCTATCGGCTGCCAATTCATACGGCTTCTATTTTTTGATCTTCTTCGACTTTTCGATATTCTTTAAATGCTCCAAAATAGTTGAGATACTTATAGCGAGTTCTCCTGCAGGTTCTCGAACATGCATTTACCTTCACGGAAGCCTTCAGTTGACCGTCAATAAAGGACATCTGTGACCTATCTCATCTTTAAGGCAGATTGCGTCACTACGAAGTTTCTCGAACAAACGTTTCACTGCGCGTTCGTTAACTCCTTTCTGGCATCACAGCTCGTTAATGTTGCTTAGTCGAAACTACCATCTTTACACTTGAGACTTTAACGGCTAAAATGTGTCAAGAACCCAATTTGTATTGTAATTCAATTATGCTACACGAAATTGCCCAAAATGATCTTCTTAATTAAATATAATCGCAAATTATTCGAGAAAAAAACTGTTGATAAAAGATATGCAAGAAAAATGGAACTCAAAGTCGGACATGAATTCCCAACCAAACTCCACAGGATGGCGGAAGGTGTGAGAGTATTTGTTTTTCGTCAGTCGAACTTTTTTCAAAAATGAAGACTTGCCTTAAACGTAAAGGTGAATGCAATAGGAAGCACTAAAAGATAGCGAGTTTTTTGCCTCCAACATTTTACTTAGCGATTCTTCCCTCCTCCTAGCGGTTTACCGCCTCATCGTGGCTGGGAGGTGTTCCTGGGTGTCGGACTGCGATATACAACGGAGGATTCCTCCTCCCAGAAGGGTCTCCCGAACTAAGAAGGAAACCAGCGTTTCCATCAGGAAGCCTAGCTAAGAGTAAACGAATACCAAGATCCGCCACCGTGCTGGTGTCAAAATCGCATGGTGGCAAATCTCCCTCTGTTCCACAAGGGCTGGGACTGCCTGTGGTGGTGAAGACCTGGGGCACAGTTTGGCCAGGCTGACCTCGGGATTCCAGACAACCACCATGTTTTCACCAGCAAATTTCCGAAAAATGGAGATTATGCTGGCGCCCACACAACTAGCGAGGAGGGGCCATTCAAGTAAGTTCAAGTAAGTATTACACATATAGTTGTGCCTCTTATAGATTATGCTTTTTATCTATTCTAAGCATCATCACTAAACTAGCAACACAACACACCTAGGAGACAAACAACTACAGTAGTCTAGCCATCAAGAAGAACGCTAGTATCACGAGTTTGTGATTGTTTAGATTAATGTCATCATTGTCTGACTAACGGACGTGTGGATTGATCGCCAACAAGCCTATGAATGTTCGAGGATACGATTGCCAGGCCCAACGACCAATCAATGAGTATTTGTCTAACATAACTACCATGTTTACACTACCCGGATTCATTTCACACTTATTCACTTACTTATGTATTATCTGAATAAGCAAAGAACGTCAGGTCATCACAAAATTACTTAAACAGGATCCGGTGAATAAGATGAAGTAGAATTGCGAAAAGTACATTTTTAGTACTATGGAAACGACACGTACGAGAATGGCTAGAGACGTTTGGATTCACTGCTGATATCCAAAAAGTACAATATTAGCGCTGCTTTGTACATTATGTGATGCAGAAAATCAAAGAAAAACTTCCAATCGGCATCCTTACACTGTTCAATTAATAGCCGAGGACAGCGCCTCTTGTTTCATATAGCTAAGGTCTCCTGTAGGAAAAACGATGAGACTGGAAGAAAACTATTAGAGATCGAGATCGCTTCATTGAATCCCGGACGATGGCTTCCGGATGCTGCCCTGGTGGCGGCTTCTGCTGCCGCCATGATCGCCTATGGGGGCGGGTCCGATTCCTGTCGAGTGCTTGCTTCACTCACTCGCTGCCACGATGCGGACTTGTCTACTCGTCTTCTTGCTCGTTGCGACGACTGCTATCGTCGGTTCAAAGGTACTACTGTAGATATCGTTGTACGTTTCATGAGAATCTCTTCCATTAGCGATTACAAATTCTTATCTATCCACAATCAGTAGCATTCAATCGCCGAAGCATTGCTGAATCACGCTCATTTCAGATACTATTAAACGCATTTGCGACATTTCATATAGCTTCAGCTCCATATATCATACTTCGATCTGTAAGATAAAGCCGATCTATTAAGGATCGATACCAGAGCCTAACAAAATGCGCTCAAAGTTCACAGTGAACGTCGTCTATCAAGCATAAATCGCGCGTACCGTATTGCCTTTTATTAGGAAAACACCACTATCGGCCAAAGCTTACCACTCAACGGCCTTTTACGACCTTACCATCACTAATATCACCACACGGTTAAATTTGAACGCACAATGCAGAAATGCATCCACATTATAGTAGCTCCGCCCTTTAGCCACAGTATCCCGTCTCGATAATTTGTCTCTGCATTTATCACTTTACAGTCGACACCAAATGGGCGTATAGGCATAGTTTAGGTTTGTAAGAGCTTTGTCGAGTTGTTTTTGGTAGTGTGTTAGACCACCTGAAACTTCGGTATCTAAAGAACCTAAACGTTCATTTTGAAGAGTTACTAAACTGACAGAAAGACGAAGTAGGGAATCAAAAATCAACCTAGTGTAATTGAATAAAAGCTAACATATTGTCATAGTAAAGTGGATGCACCATTCAGCTACTATTACTGGTATCCCTTTCAATCTCGTTAATGATCAAGTAACTCCAACGCACTCCAGAAAAGCCTCCACCTCTCTGCACCTCACAGACTCAATTAACTTGGGTAATGTTAGGAACTGTGCACTTTTAATAAGGTTTTTTCTTCTTATTTTTACTAATAACCTACCTACGGGCAACTGCAACCGTATATTTGGGTATATTCACTAGTTTACTTACAAGGAACAAGATTTGCACTAGAAACGGGGTTTGTTTTTCAAATCACTTCGGACCGAGGTCTACCTTCCTTTTATTTTATTAAAGAGCTTATGCAAAAATTCCGCAGTGTAATGACAATTTTTCTTTTCTTAACAGAAGAGTGATCTCGACGAGCTTGAGAGTCTTCTAGAGAATATCGATGAAGAGCAGGAAATAGAAGATGCCACTCCAGCAAAGAAGCGTGAGTTAGTTTCCATTTAAACCGTAATCCCTTCCTACCAAGTGCTTAGGAATATTCCTCAAATTTCACTGCTTTTTCTGTCCTTTCTCTCTCCCTCTCTCTCTCCCTCTTTGTTTCATTCTTCTTTTACCTTCTTCAACTCACCACTTAGAATTTCTGTGGCGCAGATTTCTACAAAAATATCTTCCACGTCGAGATATCTCTAATAGTTCGAGAAACTCTTTGTATTCCAGATTAACCCATAAATTTAAGAGGCTCTTGAAGGGCGATCCGACAAGAACGAGTGATTCATTGGCTTCACCTAACAAATTCTAATGCACTTGGAAACTAGGGCCAAATGTGTCGCAAAATTCGTTGGCGTCTTTTCGGGGCTCACTATGACTAAACCAGTAACCAAAAAATCGAACCTCGAATCATATTTGTAGAAAAATTGAAGAATAACGCACTCGATTTGAATAATTCCTTGGTACACCACATGTTCCAGCCCTATTAAACATCATAGAAATGATTGAGTGCATGCTTGGCCTTACTGTGATTTACTAAAACCCACCGATCTCCCGCTTCTCGTCTTATTGGCTTTGCCTATTGGCACCGCCTATTTATTTAGAACCTGACTATCTCCCATTTATTATCATCTACCACCAAATATTTTAAAAAACGCCTCTTTTTATAGGTATGCTGCATGTGAATATGATCCCTATTGCATATCGCTGCTTTAAATCCTCTAGCCCCTACGAAAAGGTCTACTAAACACTAATACAGTCGAATGTATCATCGTTAAGCAAAAGCCCAATCCGTACGGAATTTGTCGAAACGTCGATCAATAATCAAAGAAGCTTTGGTCCGTACGAGTATCCAGCGACACGATTTGGATGATGGCGCTGAATTCTCACCCGCATCCGCCTGTCGATGAGGACAGCCGCGTCGTGTCGCCCTCCGGCCTTTCCTCAGTATTTTCCTGGTGACCCGTCGTCGTCTTACAACAGCTGACCATTCGAGCTGCTGACGACATAAGTCGATTGTTCAGAGCTTTTCGTCCAATATAAATCCATCCCGTCATTGTATGAGGGTCATAAATATGTGAAGGTTTTTGGCATCATCGTCACTAGGTCGTGAAAATCTGACAGCTTCGTCCTCAGTACACCGTGAGAAGAGCATGTTTTAAGTGGCATTTCTTTCGAAGAACATATGCCCGAGATCTCCATGTTTTAACTGAATCCTCCTAATAAATGCTTCGAAAGAATACTGGCAGTGCTTCTCAAGAATCGATGGCTGAGAAAAGAATTCTGTAGAAAGCTATTGTAAAAATTGTAGATTTCCTAGAGTATCTATCACTAAGGCAGCAGCACCACATGATCTTTGTTTTTTCCGAAGATTAAGAACTCGCAAAAAATATTCCAAAAATTTCCCGCCTTTCGTAGCTTAACTGGGCACCTTTTTTCTGGACCACTGTTGCGATTATAAGATAAAAGCGTTTTCCCTGGGAAACAAAAAGCCAGCGATTCTCCACGATTACCAAAAATATTCTGAACGAAATCTGATGGCAATTTCTGCGATCTTTCTACAGACTTTTGAGCAAACTCTGTTTATTCATTGACACATCGTCTTTGTTTCCTAATTATTAGAGCCCTCCCCATTTTTAATTTGAATTTTCGGAATTTCGAAGGGAAAAGTCACCTCGATAGCTCAAGTCATATCGACCAATGGCGAAAGTGGCAACGTTGACCGTCGAACGTCGTTCGTCTACTGCAGCGTTTATTTTTCACAGAATAGACATTTTTACCTCCAAATTAAATCAAATGACTGTGTCTGAGCAGCCGAAGGATATATATATATATATATGCATTATGTACTTATATGCGGGCATGGGTAATATATAGGCACACATGTATACAAGAATTTACGCACATACATATATACATGTATGAACACACATGGGCTCATATCTATAATATATATATGTATATGTATATTTACATACACACTTACATACACACATACAGACGTAAATGCATACATGCGTACATACACATGTACATATGCACATACATACATTTATACACACACCGACACACAGACACACACACACCCGCCCTCCCGCCCGCAAACACATATATACACATTAGACACAAATAACCGCCCCAGTTATACAACACATAAGAGCCGTATTGATTGAAAGCACGTAGCTAAACCACGTAGTAAACAAATCCAGCAAGTTGTCCGATAGTGTAATGTGAAATGAGAAACACTGAAAGATGATCATCGTCAACGTTTTTCTAGACAACTTTACAAACTGTGCTGCTGTCATTTCACACCGAGAACCGAATGAACATGTTCAATAGAAACAGCCTTTTCCTCTAAATTACCCAGTATCATAATTTCTCTTCACCGTCACGGAGAAATGGATCTGATGTCGATCTTGGTTGACCGGGAACGCGATCAGAGTGGGAATTTATCAGATCAGCGGCACCATCTAGACCATATTATCTTTATTGTTTTGGAGTTAGTTACTCCATCTTTATGTGTTCAGCACCAAATTAAGAATTTCAGCAACGTCTCCAGCGAGGAATCCATGTGAAGATCACATATGTGGTTGGGGAAAGGAGTGTATAGTCGGGAAAAATAATGAACCACATTGTGAGTGCATCAGTAAGTGTCCGGAACTTGACGGTGATCCAATGGATAAGGTGAGAGCACAACGATTTACGTAATCCATGGCAAAATACTTACCTTAAAGATCTTAAAGAACTATCCAAGTGCTATGGAAAGAACACAGAGAAAGAACTATCTAACTATACATTTCTATTACGGAATGCTTTATAGATTACCGTATTAGATACTAATGAACCGGAGAGCAAAGCAACCTAATGATGCAAGGAAAAACTATCCGAAAGGTTTCCGAAAGGAATCTAATGAATTTCAGGTCTGTGCCAATAACAACGAGACGTTCACTTCCTTGTGCGATCTCTACCGTGAACGTTGTCTTTGCAAGAAGGGTTCCAAACATTGTGAGAAAAAATCTCACGCTAAGGTAATTCTACTTTATTAACGCACAGCCATAGGTACTTAAAGCTTGGCCTTTCTTTTATTTGTTCATTTTAATTTGTATGGTTTGTAAGGGGCGCGTGTAGCGCAGTGGTTAGAGGTGCTCTGCAATACCCGTGACTTCGATCGCGCATCTCAGGTTCACCACTCCTTCCAATCCCACGGGGTTGGCAAATTGCTACCAGACCTGCCCGGAGGATAGCAGCACTGGCTCTATACATCGATAGGCCACCACAAGTTATTGTAGAGGCTAGATGAAAAGAAAGCTCTCTGGGGTGATCAATCCGTGAGGGACGCGCCATGCATTCGACTTCATTAAGCATCATTGGAGGTGACTGAATGCATATTTGGTCTTTACAGTGACTAGCGCTAGCCTACTCTTGTATCGAGCCAGTGCCGCTATCCTTCTAGACAAGTCTGGTAGCATTTTGTCGACCCCCGAGGGATGGAGGGGATGGTGAGCCTAGACCTGGGGATCAATCCCATGCGTATTGCAAGGTACCTCATATCACTACGCTACACGCGCCCCTATGGTCAAGATATGCTTCCCAACCACCTCAAACAATGCTTAATGAAGTCGAATGCATGCCGCATGTCTCCGGGGTTGATCAACGCCAAGGGGTTTCATGAGACAATTTCACATATTGTGTGGATCCCAATACTTCTTCTATATAGTTTTCTATAACTTCCATTTCTCCACTCCCCATTCCATTCCATATCTCTCGGATCCATTTCTCACGAAGGTTTAGATTTCTGTGGATTTGGTTGCCCCTTGAAGATTTGATTTCTCATAATGCTGGTTGAGTCGATCCTTTCTGGAATAGATTAATAGTTGTGCTAGGACTTTCCCAGATCTTCACCGCAGGCAATGACTAGCCAGTGTGAATCATTCGGAACTTTTTCCCAAAAGTCGTGTTGCTAATTTTTCGTTCTTGGAGGAATCAAAAGCTCTATTGGCCCGGGGAGGGATCCAACCAAAGAACGTACCCGTAATATTATCTGGCATCTCTAAGCGATACGCTATGCGCTTCTCGCGGTATAGAACGTTTTATTAGATAGCTTGGTAACGATTTGTTGTGATACAAGCTGGAGAATCAGCACTATTCCAATGATTAATCATCAATACAGTGAGAATTAAGTAGCCTGGAATGTTTAGGTCCACCTGGAATATCTTGGCGAATGTAAGCTACTCAGCGAATGTACTGATGATCTGATGGCACAGTTCCCTGAACGTATGGCCGATTGGCTCTTCCAAGTGAGTTGTGATAGCCGATTAACGATTTGTCTTACTAGAACTGGAGATCTCATCAGCCGAGTATTTGGCCAAAGAGGATATTGCTTGAACGCGGCTAAGTGATAAAGAAGGCAAACAAACTGAAGTCACTACCATCATACAAAGAACACGCTTTCCATATCTGTAGTAACATATCCCGAATCATTCATACGATTTTTAGGTTATGAAAGAACTGAAGAGGCGTCGTGAGCTTGACAAACTTGAGTGGGAGGAACTACTTCAGGAAGCCGAAATGGACGATGAGAAGAGACATGTTTATCCAGTGATCTGGAAGTTCTGCGATTTGGACATTAAGCCACACGATAAGGTGCTGATCAAAGCGAATAATAATTCTGTTGTATTTGACAGTTTAATTGAGTGAAACCGCTTTAGGCTGTCTCACATCATGAACTGATCCCAATCACAGCTCCCGTTATTCCCATGGAGTCATGTATTAAACCGTTTCTGGAGAGTTGCGATACCAACAATGACGGCACAATATCCATTGTTGAATGGGGAAAATGCCTTGGACTGAAAGACGGTAATTTTTGAATGTGGTCATCTTTTACCCGCAAAGAACGTAAGATAACATTTTGCCCCCGTTTACTCCTCATTGTCTGAAATAGCCAGTAGTCCTTTAACTCGCATAGCAATGACAAGTCAAGATAGCCCACATGACCATGACATCTAACCCTGATAAATGACGAATGCCTATTACCTGAATCTATGTACCAGACTATGACTCGCATTCCTTGTTTCCGATGTAATTCACTAAATTACGGAGGACGGATATTTTTCGGAAAGCTCGATAGCGATTCTCGACTGCGTGTTTTCTGTGCCGTTCTTCTTCTACGTCTTCGTTCAAGTTCACTGAAGATGCCAGGTGCACGTAAGATATCTGTTATCGGAGAGCAATCTAATCCTCGACTTATTTCCCATGAGGATTTCTTCGTGTTGCAACACTTTCCTCAGCTTCGTTAAACTCTTTAAACATGTTCTCCGCATCTTCTGTATAAAAGTGGTATCGTCAACAAAACGAAGGTTGTGTGCGAATTCTACATAATTTTGTGTGATAGTTTTCGTGCGAATCCAGAGTCTTCATGCGGATCATCAGTGCGCTGCTTTGAGATGATGGCGCCATTTTACTAAATCTCATCACTCAATAGGAGCTGAGTGGGAACCACTACTACTGGTGCAGTGAGATTGCGATAGCAGTCTATAATCTGAAAAATGTCCCTGGACATAATATCACTGCTACAAATCCGGTAACCGTAAAAAAAGAAGGTCGAAAATCCTGCTTCTACCAGCCTTTAACTATTTAAGTCCGACATTAATTCATCTCCAGTAACATAGTGTGGGGCAGATTGGCCGGCATGAATTGGCATCAAATCATCCACTCTGTGATCGTTTATTTTGCCTTATAGAGGTTTTGTGCTATTCTTTTTGAATTATCCTTTATTTCAATATTTTAATTTATTAATTTATTAATATATAGTTTATTTATTATATTAGAACTGATAAGTGTTAAGCTAAGAGACTTTGATGAGGAGAGAGTACAAATATAGCAAGAGTACCACATATCGGGATGGTAGCAGGAAACGAGAAATCCAGCATGAGTTCGCCGACGATTAAGTGCCCTTTATGCGGACACAATAGCACAAACACTGTTGCCAATGATGATGGTACATACAAGTGATACGTGTGGGGCAAACAAACCGACGAGAGTTGACTTCAATTCATAACGTATCCGGCAAAAAATTAGGTGTAGTCACACGAATTTGGTATTGATTATTATTGAATATCCAAAAGAATGGACGGAACGAATGGTCCACATTTCAGGCGAAATTCAAGAACGTTGCTAGATCTACTACAGTGTGTTCACCAAGTGCTTACAACTCTTCACTGCCCAACGTCGACCATTCTTACAGATATTGTGCCTTAATTTCTGTTGTATTACTAGAAATTCATATGAATAATTTATGTACTTGTAAACAAAGTTACACATTATATCATAACAAGAACGCAGTCCAAGAACTCGTTGGAGTGGAAATGTCCAACATACAGCAACGTCCAAGCAACAAACTTACAAAACAAAACTGGGCGATTTCTGTAATACTTTAATGGTCAGTACAATTTATAGTGTCTTCCGAACTATTATCACCTGTTAAGAACATTATATCTGACTTGTTCCCGATCTACAGTCACCTGATAGACGGTAAGTATGAGCGATAATAATAAAGGAGAAAGTGAAGTGCATGAAAAATGAATAGCAACCGGAAAACTACTACACAAAAAAACTATTCAGTAAAAAAAACATACGTTAACGAAAATTGCGTACGATTTTGGGGAAACATGGTCCTATAATTGAAATAATTGCAAGTATTAAAAGAAAGCCATTTTTACAAAGTGGTTAGCAGTACAATGCACACGTAACAACACGAATTCAGAACTGAAGAAAAATCATCCTCTAGATGTGTTGAGCTCCACATTTCTACTAATTGAGTGGTTCGAATTTCACTAAAACGGCAGCTTTATTAACATTTTTCCCAGGTGAACACAATACTGAGGCGACCTTGCAGTGTGTAGGAGCCCTAAAGCAGATGTTGCAAAACATGACAATCATAAACAGAAACATTAGAAAACGACAATTTGCGATATAGTGCACTATAAAGGATAATGGATAAAGGATAGAGCTCTCGGTGTTGACCAATCCCTTAAGGATGCAGCACGAATTTGAGTCCATTAAGCATCATTAGAGGTGACCGAATGCATATCTGTCTTATACTACAACTGTCGCTAGCCTATTGAAGTGTCGAGCCAGTGCTGCCGTCCTCCCAGACAAGTCTTGTTCCAATTTGCTGACTTCGGAAGGATGGAGGGCTTAGTGGGCCTCGGGTGCAGAGATCGATCGCACATGTATTGCATGGCGCCTCCGAACATTGTGCTACATGCGTCCCGTACAATATTCTGTCGAAATGAATTCCATGAAACGCAAAATCAAAAGTTGGATGGAACTTTGTGGCTGGATGCATAAGTAGTTCAATCGCACACGTTCTCTCCGCCAAATCCTGCAGCCTCGCAGCCCTGTATGGAACAACCCACTGTTAATATATTAACCTCGTCTCCAATCCACTTGACACGCATCGAGTTGTACATTTCCTTGCAGTTTTGCGAATTTACTCTTTAAACCACGAAGACTTTTGATCCGAATGGAAAAAAGTGTTATTTCCTTTTGTGGAAATTTTTGAGAACGACCAATATAGAGGCTTTTGTAAGGAAAATAACACAGTCAGTTCACTCGATCCACAAAAATAAACGGGAAAGAACACTAGACTCATGAGCAAGTGAAGAAAAAAGGCAGTTGGTAGTAAATGTGTTAACTTTGATGAAAGTTCTAAGAAGGGTCGATATAGTACACCTTGAAGTCATACTACTACATTAGTGCTGTATGGACTAAAGACAATGTAAAAAAAAACAGTTTAACTTGCCTTAAGATGTATTCCATTTTCATTGCAGTCATCACAACAACAGACTGGCCATGTTGCACCTTAAGACAATCATAAACCATGAACAATCAGAATTACCTTAAAAGTGAAAATTTAAAGGCAACTTAGCAGGCAACAGACCTGTCAGTATGAACCTACCGTTTATAGTGTGCTCTGCGTTACTTACGTTCATAACTAATAGTTTTCCCTGTTACTCTGCCATTGCCTATCATTCTCTGTTTTTGCCTCTACCACTGGAGTCATTCTCCAAATATCGCTCTTTTAGAAAATAGAAAAACTGAGAGAAAGGTGAAATGGAGGACTCGCATGGTGTGATGGTGAACGCGTTAGCCCCCGGCAAGGGTAATAACGTGTTCGATCCCTACGTAGTTTTGCAAATATTTCAGCATCATTGCGGTTGTATTTCACATAACAGCCTGCCGTGAAAAATTGTAGTAGGCAGTGAATAAAAAGTTAATATTGCTCTTTTATCGGAAATTTTTAAAATTATCAGAATTACAGTAAGGTATACTTACTTCGTCACCGGCATTTACAAGAACTTTCTCAACAATTCCAGGCATTGGAGCTTGAACATGTTGAATGCTTCCAGCTGAGCCTGCAGTACTCTCTTCAATGAAGTTGACGGTCGAAGTACTATATTCCGCTTGACCAGAGCCACATATCTAAACGATTGGTTTTCATCTAAACATGAAAAAATTTATGTCTAGTTCAGAAAATTACACTTACCAACGCAGAATTTGGAAGCCTAATGACTTCCGCAATCCAACGACGGCCATCCATTTCTAAGGTATATCGAATACTATGCTCATTCATTACAACGTCACTATGCTTCACACATCTCTTCTGATCACCGAAAGATACTTCGATGTTGTCATTTCTCAGAAAAGACAATGTGACTTCTTTCTCTCCTATAAAAAGAACCAAGAAAGATTAGTATGAAGAGTTGACATTAAAAAATTGTAGCAATAAATGATGAAAAAGGCAAACCTAATTTATAAGTCTGCTGGGCAGCATGATTAAGACGGAAAAAGGGAATTTGCTGGAACGGGCCAACAGGATGAACTGGACGACTGAGAAGAGCAAGACCAATGGCGCCTTCAGCTAACTCCTCCAAAAAATTGATTAAAAATGCACAATGAAGTTGTAAAAACAAGTTCCGACATGAAATGTATAGAAAAAAGCTCGTTCGTTTTCGGAGCCAGATTTGAATAACATCAGCAATGCTCAATAAGATCTCGCGTTCTTGATGAACCAATACGACATTGTTTTTAGTATATATTTTACCTCGGCTGTCTCCTCGGCACATTTTACTCAATTAAGCTGGAAAGGTCACAATGTCCAATAGGATAAAATGATCAAACATTTGCTTATCACAGTAAATCTGTGGACCGTTTCTTCATCATATTTCCGTGCATTTTGTAGGTGAATTTTTCCAACAAGGGCGGCATAAGATTGTATCACGGGTTCCGGCTTCAGCCCAAAGTATTAACTAGAATCGTCAACCATATGCGACTCTGATAAGCGGCTCCTTCTCAGTGGAAGACACGTAAAAAACGGTTCTGAAGAAGGCGATACTGCCGAAACGTCAGCTAACGTTGTGTTGTGTGTTCTTCTTGTAAGAAAATAAACGTGTGCTGAATAACAACCTCGCGATTACTGAGAAAGAAAACGAGATATTAACCACAGAGATGAATTAGAGACATTGCTGACAACACAGTATGTTTCAGTTGTGATAAAATGTCAACTAATTCGTAGCCGCTTACACATCCGTACATGATGATACTCGCGTGGCATCTCACGTGCTTACCTTGATACTTGGATACCCCATCTTCACTGGTTGTGCTTGCCCCAGCACAGTTTCCACTGCTTCGGAGTCTTGCTGGTTAAGTTACTGTGGTTCCCTGGAGTACTGAGATCAGCCTAGCTAAAGACTCCCTCAGGTCGTCACCACCACAGGTAGCCGCCGCCTCTGTGAATCAGAGGGGAATTTGCCACCATGCGACTAACTTGATATCGGGATGGTGGTAGATCCCGCATTATTAATTGGGCTTCCTAATGTAAACGCTGCACTCCCTTTCAGCTTGGGAGATTTTGCCAGGGAGATGAATCCCTCGCCGTACTTCGCAGCCGGACACGACAACCAGGAACACCTCTCACCCGCGATGAGGCGGTAAACCATTGGGAGGAGTATCTTATATATTATATGGAATTTGATAACGAGGACACTAGCTACTTAAACAGTGCCTCTTATATCAGCAAAAAAGATTATCTAGGCCAGAAGATGCGATCATAGTAAGAGGCCGCTTACAGCTTGAATCTGAGATTAATAAACCCAAGACAGTGAACACTTCAAAGGTTACAATCACAGAACAATCAGCAAAAAAACTATCGCGAAAGTAAACGTTTTCTAGAATAACATAAGAAATTCCAAAAGAAGTCGAAGATATAATTTACACCTAAATTTTCTCTAAATCTTGACCCCATCTTTCAATGGAGGCAAGATTAACGGAAATTTACCACTCATTGTGAACAATGCATAGTTTTAGCAATTGATATGTGAAACGGACAACTAATACAACCAAATATCTTGTAGTTTTCTACTAAATGACTAAAATCAATGCTTAGAGCGGTGAGTGAGATTAGGAAATATTTGTGGCGTATCTTGGTCGGATATGTCGTATTAGTACCACTTTCTTTTCTTCAAGAACCATAGTTATTGCGCGTATAGGTTACTATACCTTTAGCTCAGCATCATAATGAAAACGCCGAGCTCCTTCTTAACTAAAATTTGCTGGGAAATGAAGATGCCGTTGTCCATCGAAGTGGGTTATAAAAGAACATCCAACTGTCGCCGTAAAATGGTAAGAAGTTTATGTAGTTCAAGTGTGAAAACAAAAACCGCCAAAACGTCAACTAAGGGGCAAGTTATCTTTTTTCAGTTCAGCTAGAAAACAGCGACAACTTTCTATCCGTTATAATTTCACTAGCTACACCTATAAACACCATAGTCCCTTTAGCGAAATTACCACCCAGTGATTTCTAAAGAAACCCACTTCGTCCGATTGGTGAACTTCAGAAAACAACTCTGCTTGGTAATCTGGTATAAAGTCAGTGTAGACGTTGCCCTGAAGAAAGCGAAACTCACACAAGAAGCTTTGTATGGCATACATTCAAGTTGTTAGTTACGATAAGCTGAAGACTTTAAAAGTTACCACAACAAAATCAACTGAACTACCTTTGCGAATTCAGGATGCACGAGAATAGTTCGGACAAACTGAATGTTGGTAGGAAGTCCACTGATACGCGTTCCTAAAAGGGCAGCATCAAGTTTGGCCGCTGCCACTGCTCGATTTGCACCCCAAACGACAACCTATACGAAGGTTTTAATAGAACTCACAGAGGAATTTCGAAAGACAATAATATAAAGAGATAAACTGTAGATTTCTACAGGAATGTTATAGTTTGGATCATAGGTCAAACAATCTATCGGCCGCCAGCACTGACCTTTAAGACAACATTTGTGAGACAACACATAAAACAAAATCCTTAAAGGTTACCTTTGCAATCAAGGGATCATAATGAACTGAAACCTCATCTCCAGATACAACACCTGTGTCTACCCGAGCGTTTGTCGGAAACGAAACGTAGTCTAACCGCCCTAGAAATAAGTTGGGAAACCCGAGAAGATCTTTGTCAAATAACTACACAAGAACAAAATTCAGACCTCAACAGTAATAAGGGCAAAAAATACATTTAAAAATGAAACGAACCAGCCGTTGGCATAAAAGTGCCTCCTTTTGTGTCTTCTGTATAAACTCTACATTCAAATGCATGCCCATTAAGAGGTATCTGTTCTTGTTTTAGAGGTAACATTTCGCCCTGGGCAACCTTCAATTGCCATTCAACAAGATCGGTACCTGAAACGTTTTAACTGTCAGTTTGGATCCAAAAGTTAATCGAACCGCAAAATTAATGCACTCAGAAGTTATTTAATAGCCATTTCCAAACATAATTTCCTTCCTCTTCTTAGTTCCTAGTTGGGCAAGATTTCTAAATAAAATTCAAACATAGATGTATGAGGGAATTCACAATTTTTCATTACACACAGTCGCCGTTTCACACGGATTGAAAGGAACTTCGCTGTCTTGCGAATGGACTTTTCCGAGATACCTACGATTGAAAGCATTCAGTCTTTTGTTAAGTAATCTTGTGAGTAGAAAAGGCAAACATTTCTGTCTGACTATTGAATAGCGACCTTTAGTTCCTAGGGCCCAGGAAGAACCCATGCCATTTTGAGGCGATAAACCATTCATCCTTCCAGCGGTTTACCACCTCTTCGTGGCTGGGAGGAGTTCCTGGATATCGAGCTGTGACCTACAGCAGGAATTCATCCTCCCAAGCAGTCTCTTAGGCTGAGAAAGAGTCCGGCGTTTCTATCAGTAAGCCCAGCTAAGAGCAAACAATACCAAGATGCACCACCATACTGGTACCAAACTAGTCGCAAGGCGGAAAATCTCCCACTTATCCACAAGACCGGCGACTCTCTGTGGTGGTGACGAGCTGGAGCAGACTTTGAAAAGACTAACCTCGGGACTCCAGTGAACCACAATGGCCAAACTAGCAAAACTCCGAGATATGGAAATTATGCTGGTGCCCGCACAACCAGTGAAGACGGGCCACTCAAGTGCTCAAGTAGGTAAGTAGCATTAACATTATGTTCTCTTAGCCATACAGACGAATACTCACCCGTAACAGCTTCAGTAACAGGGTGCTCAACTTGAAGGCGAGTATTCATCTCCATAAAGTAGAAATCTCCTTTTGGATCTAAAATGAATTCCACAGTTCCTGCTCCTACGTAGTTAACAGCTGCGGCAGCACGTACGGCAGAATCTCCAAGCCGAAGACGGGTTTCTTGGCCTTGAAATAAGATGGGTGTTTTTTTACAATCTACGTAATATGCACTTAACAACTAGTTACGAATATAGCCAAGGATAGTAACTTGACAAATCGAATTTTTAAACCGTGACCCGAGATTTTACAGAGCATAAATCGAACTGGCAACTAAACTCGAATTCTTGTAAAAACAGAAGAAATTGTAGGATTCAAAGTAAAAGACGAAGATGCGAAAACACCAACTGATAAGTGGAGCCGGAGCCTCCTCGATGATTTTCTGATGTCTCCGCTGAACAGAGCAATCACGTTCCCATAAATGAACGTAGTTTCCATGATGATCCCCAAAGACCTTAAACACTAATTTGCTGGCTTAATATACTAAATTGTCTTCAAAATGAGATCTACTGAAGGTTTCAAATACGGAAAAACGAAATATTTTAAGTGAATTTCAAGGCTTCTTCACTACGTCTTGAAGGACATACGGACTTGTCAATACCAAGAATATCACTGTTGCATATCCTCCTGGTAACCTCGGTGGTTGACCCTGGGAGGCTGTACAAGGATTATGGATTTGACTCAGCGATGGCTTAGACGTTGGATGATCGGGGTGCCTTGGCATGCTGGGAATGGCTTCGGGCAAGCGGGGACTTCCGTATGATCATCTACAGGTACAACACATTCAGTTGTCTGCATTCATAAACGTCTTCCTTGCTAAGCTGCACAACTAAATTCTACCTATAAAAGCGATGAGCCGGCATAAGTCGATATTCCGACATCTGCTAAAGAAATGACCGATCCTATTGAGAAAGAACCTTTAGTCGGTCTTAAAAAAAGACCGCTCTTTTTGAGACTGATGACTGAAAAAATGCTCTTATTTTCAAAAGTTCAGCCTCAAAGGATTGTTCTGTAAGGCATCAAGTAGATATCTACTTACTTGGATACTTAGACGGCCCGTCCTCACTGGTCATGAGGACACCAGTATTATTTCCATTTTTCGGAGTTTCGCTGGTTTAACCAATGTGGTTCTCTGCAGTCCCGAGGTCAGCCTATCCAATATTCAGCCCAGGTTGTCACCACCACTGGCACTTACCGCACTTGTGGATCAGAAGATTTGCCAACAAGCGACTAGTTCGACACCAGGACGATGGTAACTCCTGGTATTGGTTTAGTCTTAGATTGGCTTCCTGATGGCAACGCCGGACTCCTCAGCTTGGGAGACCCTGCCAGATGGAGACTTCTGTATGTCGTAGTTCGATATCCAGGAACACCTCCCAGCCACGATGAGGCGGTAAACCGTTGGGGGATCAGGTAGATACATAAATAATAAGTCATAATTGCTACTCTACATCTTATATAAGAGTAAGAACGAGAAATAAATGCATGGAATTACCTGAACTTCCACATGACGTGGCCTCTCAACAAACTTTTCAACTAGCATTTCGTCGTTTCCGAATGATTTCATTGCCTCGTTTCTCGCAGATGCCAATTTCTCGTCGAACTCTGATTCGGACCACGCAATCCGCATGCCATAAATATTAAAAGTGAGAATCATATTAAAAAACTTCACAGAAGATATTCTTACCTTTGCCACCGCCTCCATAAACCGCTTTGAGCATCACGGGGTAACCTAAGAGTGAGCATATTCAGAGAAAGACAGCATGTTGTCAGAACTATAAAAACATGGGATCATACCAATCCTCTCTGCATGCGCTTTAAGATTACCGTCGGACTGATCAGAACCGTGGAAACCCTCGACCACAGGAACCTAAAAGGACATGAATTCAGAGGGACGCGGGAGGTACCAGATGTTTAAACACTTATGAAATTCTCGTGTACGTTCGAATATTCACACCAAATGTTTTGGACAAACCTTAGCATCTTGCATAATCCGTTTAGCGAGACTTTTAGTGCCCATATCACGGATAGCTCGAACCGGAGGACCAATAAACACCAGACCAGCTTCAGCGCATTGTTCGGCGAATTTCGCATTTTCAGATAGAAAACCGTAGCCTGGATGAATAGCCTGAGCATCGGATTTGATAGCAGTGTCAATTATTCTATCGATATTCAAATAACTTTGTGCCGCAGCTGCCGGTCCTATGTGGAATGCCTGAAATTGCAAAGTATCCTATATTCAAAATGTCGAATTTAATTCTTACGATGGTTCAGTTTACATAGAAGTCATTGGTATATGGGTAAAAACCGATACGAAGAAAGAACAGACGTTAAGAAATGCGAAGGTGAACCTAACTTGTCAGCCTTCTTGACGAAGAGCGCATTCCTGTCAACGTCGGAGAACACTGCCACCGATTCGATACCCATTTTTCTTGCAGTCTTCATTACTCGAATCGCAATCTCACCACGATTTGCTATGAGAAGTCGGTTAATCTCCTTAATTATTGGAGTACCAAACGAGGCCAGGGTCCGATGGATAGGCCGAGTTCTTCCGGAGATTCGTAACATGTCTGAAATTCGCTAGCCTGAAGGTCAATAACTGTTAATAAGTCTTTTTCGAGCTAAGAAAAGTACGTGAAAACGAAAGCTTGCTCGAGTTGGAAGGATAAAGCTTACAAATGAAGTAAGGACTTGTTCTCATAGGAAACTAAAGTACAGGTAGGATTCCTATTAGCACAGAAACATGTTAAAAACTAATTATAAAACGAGTACTACACATGGAATACAAGATGCCGGATGACGGTGTAATAGCTGGCACATGAAAACGAAAAAGAAAAGGTTGCACAGCAAATCTAAGGGAACTAAGGACTTACTTAGCCTTAATCTACTCAATTTCTTAGCAATCTACTGACTACGGTGTTTGCAGTACCACAGAGTAGTCCATTACAGGCACTAAGACATGAGCAGAACCTAAAAATCTTTCCCAACTTTGTGGACAACAAGTATCAAAACTCAAGTGGTCGGATCAGGTGTCAGGGTCGCTATAACCACAGTGATGCTGAGAAATTTGCAAAACTCTGGACCGCAAGTGTCTGCTGTTGGGATCGAACACGCCACTACACTTTCCAGTGGCGAACGCGTTCACCGCTTCACCATGCGGGTCCTTTGTTTCGCCTGCCTCTCAGCTAGTTTTCTATCTGCTATCAAAATTGTAGTAGGCAGTAAATAAAATGTTAACAGCGTCGCTAAAAAAAAGCTGCGAAAAAAGAGAGGTTCACTTATTTCCACGTTAGCAAATATTTGAGCAAGAAACAAAAGCCAAGTTTGACAAAAGGCACTAATGATTTGCAGAAATACTAGTTTAACCAACCAACGAACATAAAACCCAAGAACAGAAACCCCTCAAACCCGTGGGTCAAGACCACCTATAACTCGTGACCTGCAGCGTCTCTGATCATCGATCGACTCGAGTTGGTACTTGTAAATTCCCTACTTGTACGCTTTACTTTAATCACTGTGATGTCGCTAACAGCATCATATCCTTATTTTTAAAAGGCACTTTTTGTTTTTGCAAAAACATAAATCACAGGATGCTTGTTGCTTTCACCTACTGGAGCCCATTTGTTGGAACTCTAAACACATCAAAAGTCTCAATTCAACCATGACGTATCGAAATTGGATCATAGGCGAGTTTAAGTGATAGAAAATTTATCTACATTACAAGAAAACAACCATCGGATTCACTTGAAACCTGGCTTTTTGCCAGATCGATGCAAGAGATACAATTCAAATCCATGTTGTCAAACCCACGAATTTATGCATAGATCTTACTCGAGATAAATGGGATGTCAAACTTTGACCTTTGGTGGTTTTGGCCCGCATTTAGCCCCATGTACTTAACTTAATGTGGTGCGTGTGGAGCAGCTGTCTGAGGCGCTCCGCAAAGAAACAAGGGTTCGTACCCCGCACCCTAGGGTTACCAAGCCCTCCATCGCTCCGATGCCGGCAAAACGGTACCAGACTTGCCTAGGAGGATAACAGCACTGGCTCTATGCATTGGTAGGCCACCGCGAGTCATTGTAAAGGCCAGATATGCATTCAGTCACCTCAAACGATGCTTAATGAAGTCGAATGCATGGCGCGTAGCTCAATGATTGAAGGCACACCTTGCCAATGACTCGCTGTGTCCTACCAATACACCAATTCGGTGCAGCTACCCTCCTAGAGGAGTCTGGTAACAATTTCCGGAGCGACTTTCTATTAATCTTGGCGTAGGATTATGAATGCGTTGTTTTCTTGTTCAGGAATTGTGAGGTTGTTAAACAGCATAAATTTACTTCCACAGAAAAACACACAACACAATACAACAGTAGCTGACATTCCGGCAGAATAGTCTTCATCAGAGCCTGGAATGGCATACTAATACACAATTTATAGGCCAAACAGTTCAATAACACTTACAGAAAGACGAAAAACTCTATGGCAATTACATGACCAACAGCTCCCCGAAACACTCATCGTTTTTCTCATGACTTCCAATGAGAAAGGTTAGAACAGCTGATTATAGTCGCATATGGTTGGTGACTGCACCACCCCACATCAGAAATTGATGCGAAGATACGGGGCCAGGTCGCGCGTGACCTTCGAGGATTCATCCCTGCTATTCATTGTAGGGTTTTTGGCATTGATCCAAAAAGCCTCAAGGAGTTTTCGCGCTGGTGTTTTGGACTCCTGTGCAAGGATATTGACTTTTACTTCAAAATCGTCTCCGCTTTGCTTTTGTATCCTATGCGTGCCTAGTGGGGTGCTTCGTCTTAGTTTTCGTTTGCCATCTAGGTGTTTTTTTATACGGATACACAAGGGTCTGCCCGTTTCGCCAATATATTCATCTCCGCAATTATTACAAAAGATCAGGTGTGTCGTACCTCAACTCATGCAATAACCGTCCCTGCCGTAAGGGCAAATTACGCAATTTGTTGTTTCACACAGACGGCCATACAATTTCGACTATCGCTACCGATTCCTCTAGACCTGCCCTATTTTAGGCATCGTTTTGTAGTTATGCTTTATGGCTTTATTAGCGATGAAATAAGCATAGCTAAAAAACGATGCCTAGAAAAGGGTAGGGCTAGAGGGATCGGTAGCGATAGTTGAGAAACCGCCGGCTACTCTACGTCGTCACTTAGTTCGTAACCGCCTGTATGACCGTCTATGTGAAACAACAAATTGCCTAATTAGCTCTTACGGCTAGGATGGTGATTGCATGAGTTTACATACGATATACCTGGTCTCTTGTGGTACTTGCGGAGACGAATATATTGGCGAAACGGGCAGATCCTTGTGTATCTGGATAAAAGAACACCTAGATGGCAAACGAAAAGCAATCAAAGTACTCCACTATGCACGCATAGGATACAAAAGCATAGCGGAGACGATTTTGAAGTAAAAGTCAATAACCTTGCACAGGAGTCCAAAACACCAGCGCGAAAACTCCCAGAGGCTTTTTGGATCAATGCCAAAAGCCCTACAATGAATAGCAGAGAGGAATGCCTAGAGGTCATACGCGACCTGGTCCCGTATCTTCGCATCAATTTCTGATGTGGGGTGGTGCAGTCGTGAACCACATGCGACTATAATCAGCTGTTCTAAACTTCCTCACTGGAAGTCACGAAAAAGCGGTGGGTTTTTCGAGAGGTTGTTGATCGTGTAGTTACCAAAGAGTCTTTCGTCTTTGTGTAACTGTTATTGAAGAGGTTGGCCTAGTAAATTGTATATCAGTATACCTTTTCAGGCTCTGAAGGCGATACTACCGAAACGTCAGCTACTGTTGTATTGTATTGTGTGTTTTTCTATGGAAGTAAATGTATGCTGTACAACAACCTCGCGATTGCTGAACAAGAAAATGACGCAATTTCCCGACTTCTGAGGAATGGAAGGCTAGGTGGCACCAGAGTTCAGGATCGAACCAAGAACCATTGTGTTTTGCAAGGCACCTCTAAGCACTGCGTTATTGCCCTTTCCAGTACCAGACTGACCAAAGACAGGGAAGTTAGACTGAAACAAAATTGCTGAAACATATTAAGCAGATAACTGAGCTAGTCTGTAGAGATAAAAAGCGGACAAATAGGTTTAGTTACAAGGTGACACTACAACTCTTAGGGCATTTTCTATGCCTATTCGTCATTCACATCGATACCAAATGCTCTTTTTCTCATCCGATTGGAAGAAGAAAGTACGGACACGGTATTTATCATGAACACAAAGCATACAGTAGCAAAGAAATGAAGCAAAAAAATAAAGCATAGTTGTGAACGGGATTGCTTAGAGCAAAGTGCAGTGATAAAAAACATCTATGCTATCCAAAAAAGCACGTAAGAGCAAAAATCTGTGACGTCACTACCCTTCGCGAAAAGTCGCTAGGACAACTGGAAACGTTGCTTAACCCTGAATATGGCACACAACCATGTTTTCCTTAAACGTAGTCATCGAGATGTGGCATATGTCAATGTAGATGAATTTCGATCGATTACTAGATCTCAAACATAAGTATTGCTAACGATTGAATACTGTACACGTTGAGGTTGCGGAATGAACTCAAGCCAATCGGACGGTGTGTTTGGCAGAAGACCCATGGTGTGTACCTGAAGTAGGACCCGTGTAAAATATACGCAAAATATGAGCCACACACACATTTTTGCAAACAAACCTTGTAAATAGCGAGAGCTATGGCACCCATATTACCAAGAATGAATATAATCTTATGAATTATCAAACTTCCAGCATTTTGGTCCTAAAACAAGGTACTACATTTCTTTGGGAAGGTACCATGCATTTGAATACCAACTTCCAGCGGTTTAAAAGTTGCATTCACTGAGAAAAGAGCTTTAACCGGTCGCCACAACATCATTCCGACCATCATTATCGGAAAAATCGATACCTACAAAATGCAGTGTTGGAGGACTATAACTAAACAACAGCTTTTCTATGAAAACAAACAAACAACTGCAGGTTGAAGAACTGCCATCATTGAAAGCACACAATATGGCCAACTCAAAAACGTCTGTCCTCGCTCAGTTTAAGAAAAATAGAATAAAAACATAGTCTTAACTCTTTTATTTACTTCCTTTTTCTTCTTAATGGCAGGGTATGTTTCGAATTATAACTCGTATGAAATGTTGAGATATTTGCAAAACTCCGGACCACAGGTGTATGCAGTGGTGAACGAACACGCGCTGTTGTCCTTACCAGGGAGCAGCGCACTTCACCACTACACCATCCGGGTCCTTCGCTTTGCATGTCTCTCAGCTGTCTCTCAGCCATTAAGAAGAAAAAGGCAGTAAATAAAAGAGTTAAGATTGTGATTATAACTAAGCCTCAGCTTAATTGGGTTCAATGCCGATATTGGCTCCCTAGATCAATCCCGTTGACGGGTGATTGCTGATGGCAAAAAGATCGATAAAGACACAGTGTTTTTGCCCAAACCCAAACCAAACATAGGATTTGAATCCTAACCTAAGGGAGGAGTGTAAAGCATAGCAGGTTACTACTTCTTCAATTCTCTTCTAAAAAGAATTACTGTGTACTATTGGATCACTCGTTTGTTATTCACGAGAGATGAGGCAACAAGACCAGAAGTTCCTGCTGTTTGCCGGAGGAAATTTTGAACTACTCACACTTCTTCCCGCCATATACATCATAAACATATTCATCGGAAGACTTTTGGCTGGTGCCATAGCAACATCCCAAGCACGTTTTTTCGCCAGATGTTCCTGCTGTTCAGAAGCGTGTTCGCTGTCCACCTTAAAAAACGGAACTGTGAGCAACGTAATGACTGAATGGAAAACAAAACCAATAAAATTGATAATCCGTTGACAGGTAAATAGAATATTTCGTGAAGAAATCGTTAACTTCGTAAGAAAGAGGAAATGAATAAATTGTAACTAGAAAAAACGCAAGAGAACCAACATGATGTTGAGCTGAGGTGACCCCAGGATGGAAGCCTGGTGGGTTGAACGCGCTGTCCGACGTTCTACAATTCCGTGACGAAACAGTGTAATCCAATTTCCATTGAGCTAGCGACATATGCTAACAATCTGAACTTCTGTGCATGAATATTAAACTAGTAGAAGAGATGAGAAGAATATAGGAACCGATCTTGTCGATCACACAAATATTATCCGTCTTAACGACTATTGAACGAAATGGTAACGATATAGAGAACAACTTTATTAAAGATCAAACTCAGAAGAAGGTAGACAGAACAAAATAGAGGACTAAATCGAAAGTCCTCAAGGTAATCAGTAGAAAATTGCAAAGATGTATAAAAATATTACTCTGTTTGGTCTAAAGAAAGGAGTAGAGTAAAACACATAAACTGCCGGCTAAGAAGGAGCAAAAAATCGGATAACAAAACCAAACGAAGAAATGAAAGCTATAAACAAACAAAAACAATTCACAGTTCCGGGAAAACTAGACGACTGACATATTTCTCAGTTCTATCAGTCACGGCATAACAGATGCAATAATGGTCAAGAAGTTGCCGTAACAACTCCATCTCATCCAAATGCTCTATCTTTTCAATTCTAAAACAAACAGCGGATTACACAAGGAATTATTGATTTACAAGAACATTGATACTAGTTCCCAGGATCGGCTTTCTCTTAACCTCGGCATTGGAATATGAATGTGTCGTTTTCTTGTTCAGCAATCGCGAGGTTTTTAAACAGCATACATTTACTTCCATAAAAAACACAATACAATACAACGCTAGATGACGTTTCGGCAGTATCGCCTTCTTCAGAGCCGATTTTTCGTGACTTTCAATGAGGAAGTTTAGAACTGATACTAGTAACTACTTTGAGATTTACCCACAATTGTGTTCAGAAATTTGCAAAATTCCGGAGCGCAGGTGACTGCGGTGAGGATCGAACCCACTATTACCCTTTTCAGGGAGTGATTTAGGCTACGCCTTAGTTCGATGACGATTTGTATTCACCAGATCAATCCCGTTAACGGGTGATTGTTAATAACACCTATAAACACGGCTGAGAGAAAAGCGAAACGAAGAACCACATGGTGTGGTGGTGAAAAGCGTTAACCGCCGGAAAGGGCAGTAGCGAGTTTGATCCCCACAGCAGACACCTACACTCCAGGGTTTTGCAAATATCTCAGCACCATTGTGAGTATATTTAACATCATACCATGTCGTAAAAAGAATAAGCAGCAAGTGAAAAAGTACCTTGAGACTTCACCTTGAGTCAAAATTTTTTTATACACTGTGTTCATATCCATGACGTTGACATGAGTCCAACCGCTGTCACAAAACCTATGCAAGAAAATGCTCTACAGTACACATATTTTACGAGCCAAAAAGTAAAAACACCTACCTTCCCTTCTGAGTTTCAACATCAGAACACGCTGCTATGCCTGGCAACTGAATTCCTCTCTGCTCGAGATTCTTCTCCATAATATTCCCAAAAGTATCCTTTGTATGGACCTATTAAAAGTCACTCATTTGGCATAAATATTACTGAGTAGTTCCTGCTGTCTTCTAGAAAAAGCAATAACTTAACGAAAGCCTGAAACAAGTGCAAGAACCACACTGCTGTGTCCCATTTAGCACATTTGATACACAACAATGTTGATCTAGATAACATTCCCAATAACTGAGGACTTTGAAAATCTACCGACTTGATAAACACATAGACGAATCTGTCTCCTATGGTTACAAAGGAACTATAACTTTTTTCTAAAAATAAATCAGAAAATTAAGATTTTGAAGAAATCGCAACTGTGGTGACCGTAAACATCAGCGTTAAATTTAGAGCGATCGTCACATCCTGCTGCACAAAATCACGCTTTTGAATCGGTTTGCTCTCGAGATACGAACTTCGAAGAGTAAAAAAAATAAGGGAAAAAGTGTCTACTTCACAATTCCACAATTTTAAAGCTATACAAAATATAAAAAGAAAACTTGCATTTTGTCGACGAAGATCTGCAATGGCTTTTATTTTACAGCACATTGGAGTCTTTATTAGTGAAGTTCACTACGAGTTAAGATGTTTCTGTGAAGAGTTAGTACAGGAAATCCTTTCAACGGCTCACCGTCCATTTGGTGCAGCGAGGCATTTCTGGGTGACGGGCCGCGATGTACGGCGGGAGTTTCGTACCACCAACAGAATCTCACAAGCTGAGGAGTCCGGCGTTTATATCAGGAAACTCAGCTTAGAGTAAACCATTACCAAGATCCACCACCATCCTGGTATTAAACTGATCGCATAGCGACAATTCTCCCTCTGACCCATAAAGGCGACGACTACCTGTGGTGGTGACGACCTGGGCCAGATTTGGGTCTGGTTGAGCTCGAGACTCCAGTGAAATACAACGGTTAAACCAGGAAAACTCCGAGAAAGTGGAAATTATGCTGGAGCCCGCACAACTAGTGAGGACGGCCCATCCAAGTATGCTAGCTACGAGTATACATGGTAACAATTTGCCAATGTTACGCGGTAAAAACATGTGCATCTCACCTGCTCATAATTGATGAACACCACAGTATCAAAGTATGAAGAGATATGTCTGAGCAACTGCGCGCTTTGATCCACTGACATGTACACGAGCACACATCTATGAAGAGAACGGCTACATTATAAAACAACTGATCTCTACCTATCCAAGTGACGACTACTTAAGTCATTAAAAAGAGCACTTACTCGGCTACAAATAATGTGGGAAGAGTGGTATCAATGCCAACTGAGTCGAGTTTTGACCTGAACTCATTCCACTGACGAAGGTCCGCACCAACCAAACTGTAGTCACCACAGTGCAAATCGCTGTGTTGGATTTCTTTGGCTGAAATATTTTGCACTGGTAAGTTTAGCTTAAAAAGCTATTCATCAAACGAAAAAGATTGACCTATTCACGCTAGACTATACCGAACAACTTTATCGTCTACTTAAAACTCCCACAAACATGGTTAGGATCCATAAAGGCAACGAATTGAACTCATATAAATCATTGAAAAAACGCAACTCGTAAGCTCTCTGAAACATTGTTGGAAGAAAAATAATACAGAAACTTTGCATAACAAACTTACGCGGTTCGCTGAAGAAACTGACCAGATCAGGTGCGCCCGGTTTTCGGATTTGACGTATTTTTTTTGCTGTCACCGAACTAAAGTCCACATCAACGAACTTCTGGACCAGTTTTCCGGAGGACTTTAGTCTCCAAAAAAGTGTATCGGAACCACAGCCTGCAAGCTTTCCTTTTTCTAAGCATTTCTACTTTTTTTATTTATATGGTCCAACATGGCAGCGTGCAACGCAGTGGTCAGAAGCACCTTGCAATACATATGGGATCGATCCCTTCGCTCAAGGCTCACCAAGCCTTCCACCCTTCTGGGGTCAGCAAATTGGTACCAGACTTCGCGAGGATAGCAGCACTGGCTCGATACATCGCCGAGTCACCGCGAGCCATTGTAAAGGGCAGGTATGCATTCAATCACTTCCACCGATGCTTAATGAAGCCAAGTGCATGGCGCATCCCTTAGGGATTGATCTACGCCGAAAACTTTACCCGTTTATTTTTTCATAGTCCAACAGCACACTTTTTGCAGATCCTAGCCTTTTCATTCAAATGGTTTTCTCGCAAACTAAGTCCGCGAAAGCCATCAGACTTTCGTGTGGATTCAGGTGTTGCTTGAGGATTTGGTCTTCCTATCCATGTTGGTTAATGCTGATCGAGTAGATTTTGTTTGGATTTCTCGGTTGGTTATAGTAGGGCGTTCCCAACTTCTGCATAGGCAGTCACCAGCTACTGATAATCAGAAAGACCTTTCCACAAAACTAAGCCATAAATCTGCTAACCTCGGAAGAATGGTGGGTCTAGTTGGCCAATGGTGAGGATGAACCAGCAACCTTGAGCGTTTTACTAAATGACGCCTCTAACCACTACGCCTCTCGCGACTTTTCCTTGAATATTATAACTAAAAATCAAGATCTCTCAGACGAACAAATTACCTATGTTAATGATCTGACATCGTCCTGCAGTCTTCTCCACAAACCGTTCAACAAGATGATTTATAACTGATACTCTTGCCCAGTAGCCGATCGATATCTCTGGATCACGGCGAAAACTATTGGTAGGACAGCGCTGTACGAATCGCGATAGAAACTCATCTTTCCAGTACCCTAACTGAAATAAAACTATTCTCCAATCTTCATAATTATGTTTGGAAGCCGTCGTACATAAAGGATATCTGATAATGGCATTCTCGGACTTCTCAAAAGAATCCATAACAAAAGAAGAGTGACTATCAAATATTTTCGTCAAAATCGGACAAAATCAATCTCAGAAGTCCACAGGCGACTTTTATAGCAATACTTTGGTTTCGATTACCTGTTCTGCAAACGTAAACGCTACATACTAGTCTGCAGATAGTGAGTAGGGCCTCCAGGTACTTCCCGTGCTTGACTCAAAAACTAAAAGGAAAAAAATCAAGTGATAAAATACCTGAACAGCAGCTAGTTTACATTGTGTTGCATCGTCGTTGGTTCGCTGGATTGAGTAGTCGTCCGAGAAAGAATGAGAACGTCTTCTCAAGGATACCGAAGCTGTAAGGCTCTCATCACCGTAAGAAGCTTCCGGATCCATACCTAAGTGCCTACTTGTCTGTGAAATGGGCGTCTATTACCTAACATCCATAAAATCTAGGAAGAATGCTGTTGTATAAACAGTACTGTCAAAGTGTTAGCACCTAATCATAAGGAAAAAAGAACGACATGAACTAAGCTAGGAAGAAAATCAATAAACGAGTGAATGCTATCCATCAAGAGGGTTTTCATACAGGTAACAACTGTCTAAGGACGACAAAAGACAAGAAATGTACTATGGGAAGTCCTACCAAGTCGGGTCGACCATGTTTACGCTCTGTTACGTCTCAACAACAATTGTTAAATTTAAAGTATAGCTACGTCAAAGTACGTTATTGGTACCACAAAACAGGGCTACCATTGGCAAGGAAACACTCAAAGGAATGAAAGAGCGCAGTACTTGACCAGAAATTTGCCACGGCAGTACAGATACTGAACAACACGTGGAGGTATTGGTACTACAATAAAAATTGCCATTCACATGGAAACACTCACAGGAACTAAAGAGCCCAGTACTTAACCAGGAATCTGCCATGGCAGTACAAATAATGAACAACACGTGAAGGACACAAGTGATGATCATCATGTTTTCGTTTAAAAAAACTCATTTAAGCGCCATGGCTTTCTGGCATTAATGCAACAAGACCAGTTGACTTTCGATGGTTTCGGAAGCTTTATCTTACTATATGGTTTGAAAAGAGTACAGTTGAGAAGACTGGAACTGAGGAGCCGTAGAAAGGCTGAACACCAAAAGACGACCGGACCAGAGAGGAAATGAAACTCTCTATCACAAAAGGATCACGAAAAATCCTACTTTTAAGCTATACTGGTAACATTTAATAGCAATGATGGTCACAAATACCACTGAAATAGATAGCCTCACACGATATTTTAGGTTATAAACAGTAAAAATCGAAGGAAGTAAAACTCTTCTTGGAGCGACAACTACATGAGTGCTTTACTTCCTCGAAGCAGCGCTCAAAAAAAGAACGGACGGATTTAGGGAAAAAGAAGAAGAAAGCGCAAAAGAAAAACGAGAATGTTATTATTCCAATCTGAACAGAAGGACAAGATACTTTCAAACTTTATGGAGAAACTATTAATGAGCCTTTCCAACTTTTATGGATCCAACTACCAACACTTCTTATCACTATCTTTCAGATGATAAACCATTACTGAGCAAAGGAAAAAATTGGTTGAGAGGAAGGCAGGACGAAGGCCTCAGTGGTATGGGTAATAGGTGAGCCACCGAAAAGGGTCCTCACTGATTCGAATCTGAGAAGAGGTCTGAGTTTTGCAGACACCTCAGGCTCACTATGATTGTTGAGCAGTTAAGGTTCTCTTCTGGAACCTTTGTAGTAGTCACCAGATGGTTAGCTTCGATTAACGCCTTCGGATACCTTGATACAGGGGATAGCAGTCCCGATGGCGAAAATGGACGTCGTCAACTGCTGAACTGGCACCTCTGTCTGTCGATCCATCTCCGCTTGGTAACGATTTTCGGGTTTGCTTTTCGGGTTGAATCCGTAGCAGAATGTCAATGCTTGCACTCATGAACTAGAACGGAATGGCTTCCTTGCCTTAACAGCAATTAGGTGTTAGAAAAAACATTACATGGGAAGCAGTTAAACAACAATGTAAGTAGTAAATGTTTAATACAATATGCATTAGCGAATTTTATAGAGGTCTTAGATTTCGAGTCGTCCGGTAGAGGACTCAGTTTCGCGACCATGATGACGTGCTCCAATCCACTTCGGCGCATGTCCCATTTAGAAACTTTCTTTCTCATGGACGAGAAGCCGCAAGCACGTGCTGGTATTCTATATGTATCCTACTAATTGAGGAGAGTAGAACTAAGTGGTTTTAGTGTTATAGACATGGATAATCAATATCTTAACCAAGGATGAGTATCCTGGAAGAAATTCATTGAACTGGTACCTAAAGATCCATTTTTGTTAATGATCTCCGGCTTAAATCAACTACTTGCTCCATTATCAGTTCGATGACCTTTCGTGAAACCCTAGCCGGAGTTTTCGTACTGAATTCCTGTGATTTCCGTCCCTTACTCATTAAAGATGGTCATTTTTAGTGAAATGTACTCATCGGCTACTAGTTGTACCTCTTGAGCAATGAGAAGCATAGGTTTTAAATAAGTAGTGCTACATTTGTTTTTGTAAAAATCGTCCGATGAGAGTTTTATGTTGGCCGTTTAGTAAATACGAAACAATTGACAATATTTGATCACGTCATATTGGTTAAATCTCGTCTTATGTCATAATTTTCGGCTTATCATAACCATAGAATCAACCGGAGACAGTTTTTATCTTGCAGGGACCATTACCTCAAACGGTGTTTATGAGCTTCCAACATCAGGACTTACAACAGGTGCGTACCACCCAGCGTTGTTGTCTTTCTTATTTATAGTAGTTAAAGGGTATGCGTAAGGCAGTGGTTCGGAGGTTCCATGCAATACACATGGGATCGATCCCCGGGCTCCGGGCTCACCAAGCTTTCCACCCCTCCGGTGTCGGCAAATTGGTACCAGACTTGTCTGGGAGGATAGCAACACTGGTTCGATACATCGGTAGGCTACCGCGAGTCATTGTAAAGGCCAAATATGAATTCAGTCGCCTCCAACGATCCCTAATGAAGTCGAATGCATGGCGCATCCTTCAGGGATAGGTCAACGGCGAGAGCTCTGTCTTTTATCCTTTATAGTAATTAATTATTTCAGCTTCGAGAGTTTCTCAGTGTTTACAATCTTTTAACGGAGAAGTGTTTCGTTTCTTGTATTCGTGAGTACAACTCGCCTAATTTGACCGTAGCAGAAGACGGTTGTGTTACGCGATGTGAGTGGTAGGATTGCATTTTATACTGCCTGTACTCCATCTATGCAGACTTCTTAAGCTTTTATTCGGGTCTCTAGGAACAATACAACACAGTACTGCACATTTTACTTGTAGGTATTGACAAGCAAATGCGAGTCAATCGTCGTCTAATGCTAGTATTCGCAGAACAGGCGCCAAAGATTCTCTTCAAACAAGGAGAAGCAACACCAACTAAAACGGTAAAGGCTGTCGCCACTTCTACAAAGGAGGCGGAAAAGTTAAGGGAGAAGTAGAAAAGCTTCCTATTGGAGGAGGATCGTGCTACTTGAGGTATACTTCATTAGTCACTTGGATACTTGGTTGGCCCGTCTTCACTGGTTGTGCAGGTCCCAGCATAATTTCCATTGTTTCGGAGTTTTGCTGGTTTACACATTGTGGTCCCCTATAGGCCCGAGGTCAACTGTCGAAGGTGTGCCCTAGGTCATCACCAGCACAGGCAGTTGCCGCTCTTGTTAATCAAAGGGGGGTTTGCCACCATGTGACTTTGATAGCAAGACGGTGGCGGATCCTGGTATTAGTTTACTCTTAGCTAGGCTTCCTGATGGAAACGCCGAACTCCTCAGTTCGGGAGACTGTTTTTTGGTGAGGGGAGAGTGGTAGTGGGTGAATCCCTCCGCTGTACATCGTAGTCCGACACCCCGGAACACCTCCCAGCCATGATGAGGCGGTTAACTGTTGGGAAAATACTTCATTTCAGACTCGAATATCATTCTTCCTTTTAGTGAATCGTGTCTTGTTTAGGTTTTCCTTATCTGTTAATCACTTCAAACTATGAACATCGTTTCTGAGCATGGGTTTCGCCTTGATGGCAGAAGGTCACATCAAATACGTAATATTACTGCTACTCTTGGTACAATTCCTGATGCGGACGGTTCAGCTTTTTTTGAGCAAGGAAACACTAAGGCAAGTTTTCCCAAACCACGTTATTTTACATAGATGTTTTTTGTCCTGACTTTATTTTTCAGGTTCTTTGTGCTGTTTACGGCCCATTTGAAGGCAAGAAGTCTCGTCAGTTAGAAGATCGCTGTGCTATTAATTGCCTCTTCAGGTGCGTGTTTGTCATGAAGTTGTTCTGTGGCGCAGTGGTCGGATGCGCCCTGCAGTACACTTGAGATCGATCCCCGGGCTCCGGGCTCACCAAGCTTTCCATCCCTCCGGTGTCGGCAAATTGGTACCAGACTTGTCTGGGAGGATAGCAACACTGGTTCGATACATCGGTAGGCTACCGCGAGTCATTGTAAAGGCCAAATATGAATTCAATCACCTCCAACGATCCATAATGAAGTCGAATGCATGGCGCATCCTTCAGGGATTGTGCCAAGAGCTTTATCCTTTTATTTATGATGTGTTATTATTATGTTATTATCCCTATGTTGTGGTTTTTATTCCACTAGTCTAACTCTATTCCTGCATTTAAAAAGGACAATTTTTATATTCCTCGAAATAGAAAGTCATTTTGAGCATCACCCGTTTTGCTGGGGTCGAGCGCAGGCAGCGTAGTCGTGCTGATCGGAAGTCTATGGAAATAGAACGACTGATCGAGAAGACGTTCGAAGCAGCAGTGCTCACTTATCTGTATCCACTATCTCAAATCGACATCTACTGTCAGGTCATTCAGGTATTGGTCATCGATAAACTTAGTTGTATGTTAGCACCAGACTTTTAGAACTTCCCATACATTCAAGTTTTACTACATTTCAAACAATTGGAGTGATATCCGTTTGAAGGGCGATGGCTCACATCTCGCTGCTTGCGTAAATGCAGCCTCATTAGCTATGACTGACGCAGGAATACCCATGAAGGGTATAGTTGCGGCAGCAACTTGTAGTATCGTAGAAGGCCAACCGGTTGTTGATGTGAACCAAAGGGAGGAAAGTGATCTTCTTCCACGTATAACAGTATGTTTGATTCATTGGCTTTATGCCACACTAATTTTTTAAAGACTTTGTTTGTGTTGCTTCTAGTTAGCGACGTTAAGAGGTGAAGATGAAGTGGTCTTAGTTGAACTACAGAACCGTGTACACGTGGAACATCTTCCGGCTCTAATGGCTTCGGCAAAAGATACCTGCAAAGGAGTACACGAATGTATTTGTGCAGCAGTAATTAATCAAATGGAAAGTAGTCCTTATCTATTCCGATAGGATGTGGACTGTCGGCACGTATCATTCCTTGCTTATGTTTCGTTCTCTTCTACGTTTCTGTTGAGATCGTGGATTTCTAGAATTCCCACCTTCATTAATGTATTGAGACTTGGTTGATCATTTGACTTAGGCTTGACTTGATTACTGCTTTTGACAGGTGTTTTCTTAGAATAAAAGTTACAATTTTGTTTTTGGTCGTATCACTGGTAGTCCACTTTTTGATTCTAAGTGGTCTTAATGCCCGAGACTTTTTATGAAACATAGAGCAAGGAACCATTTTTTCAGGTGTTTTTAGGCAAGTCTAACACCTCATATCGTACTAGTTAGGGCTATTATTGAAGAGAGTATGTTACGACGTGCACTCCAAGTTTATGCCAGTTACTCGCGCGCTATTTTAAGAAGATGTACAGCAACTGTTACTACAACTGCTGCAGTTCCGTCTGAGGACCCTCTGAAAGGTGCATTCGTTTAGAAGTGACAGTTTTTATCGTGTTCTGGATGACAGACGCGGGTACTGAGAGGGCGCGTGTAGCGCAGTGGTTGGAGGCGCCACTGAGACACACGTGGGATCGGTCCCCGCGCGCATGGCTCACCAAGCCTTCCATCCCTTCAGAGTCGGTAAATTGGTACCAGACTTTTCTGGGTGGATAGCGACATCTGCTCGATAGAACGGTAGACCGCCGGGAGTCATTGCAAAAGCCGGATATGCGTTCAATCATCGACGATGCTTTTGAAGGTGAATGTATGGTGCATCCCTCAAGGATTCATCAACGTGGAAAGCTTTATCCTTTATCCTTTATGTTCTGAATAGAGACATAAGAAGGCGACTGCATTTAAAGAAAGTGTTAAAGAGTATCTTAAAGATCTGGTCGAATTGTTATCTTCGGAAAATGAGATTTCTCCTATACAGCGGACAGTCTCTCCGACCACGGATATTTCTAGTATTGAAGACCTTAAGAATGTAAGTCTACTTCATAGTATTATCATCAAGCGATTGTAAGGATAGTATTCATTTACTGGGAAACGTTTTCTTTCAGTTGGCAAGAAGGAATGCGCACCATTTCTCATTGTCTGATTATTTGAGGATACTAAAAGCTTCCTTTACATTGTTCAGAGACAGAAAAGCTGCTCATGAGTTCATAAAGAAGTACGGCATGATGGTTTCATAGACAGGAAAATTCACTTTTGAGCTCTGTAATTCAGATACGGAAAGGAATCAAGTGATGCTAATATAGCAAACGTGGTTGTGAACGACGATCTCATTGCTATTCTGACTATTTTGCTTGAGCTTGATCTCAAAGAAGAGAAGATGTTTCAGAGTTTTGAAAAAAAATTTCTAGAAAAGATCGGTAAGAGCGACTTAAAACTGTCTTTCGACAATATTAACTTTTTATTTACTGCCTTTTACAATTTTCACGGCAGGGTGTTATGTGTGATACAATCGGAATGATGCCGAAATAGTTACAAAACTCCGGACCGCAGATGTCTGCGGTGAGGAGTGAACGCGCTATTACCCTTTCGGGGACTAACGCGTTCAGCACCACACTATGCGGATCCTTTGTGTCGTCTATCTCTCAGTTTTCTATCGACCAGTGCCATCACCACTCATCCATCAACGGGATTGATCTGGACCGCCCAAATCGGCATTGATGGCACTGGTTGATAAAAAACTAACTGGGAGACAGCCAAAATAGTACGTGCACAGCAACAACGAGTAAAAGTTGCCGGTGTTTTTGCTTCATGTCCAGGTACACGGAGAGCAGGACTGAATCAGTACACGTGCATGCACGAAAAGCTTCGTTTTATTGTTGCTATTGAAAAAGAACTCCAAAAACTTTGTCCACTTAAGGAAGGCAAAATGAAGGATCGGCATGGTGTGGTGACGAACGGGTTAGTCCCCGGAAAGAGTGGTAGCGTATTCGCTACCCACCGCAGACGCCGGTGGTCCGCAGTTTTGCAAATATCTCAGCATCATTGTAGTTGTCTTTCCACACTTGTAATGAATAGCTATTCTAGGTGAAGCGGACTTTTCAATTTCTTCGGTAGTACCCTTCTTGATAGCGAGCCATCGGGCTGGTTATGTTTGGCCAGAAGAAGTAATACCAGTACTGCAAGAAGTACTAGCTTCTCAAATACGGTCCGTACTTCGTTTTATGGCCAGAATATCATCTTTGCGTTTCCTCAATGTGCTTGTTATTTAAGGCACGTTGACAGCGCGAATATTCTGATTACCATACTCAGTCATTGGGATTTGAACGATAAGAAAGTGTCACAAGCTGCCGCTGAGAAAACCATTCAATTACTTGGTAGTGATCTGTCCTGTTGTGCACTTACCGTTGGTGAAATGTGTTCACTGATGAATAAGTTTGCTGAGCGGGGATATCGTGATAAGAAGCTGCTACCAGTTTTATCCGCACGAATTACAGAGTTAGTTTATTTTGGTACATATCTATCCCTGAACTATGGATTTGTTCTCAATGCTTCGTTAAATGGAAAAATTTGCAGTCATCAGACTACCTTGTCTGTACGACAGTTGGGATCATTAGTCGCATCGTGCGCCAAGCTCAGCTACTTCGATGCCCGTGTGCAACGGCGCCTGGCGAAAGATCTCCTAGTTGACGTTAATAATATTGATAACTGGGCGGATGTCTCGTCTCTTGTGAATTCGTTCAGCAGGTCTGATCTCTCCACGACTTTTTTTCATAATTCTATTGTACAGTGACCTCCCAACAGATTACCACTTTATCGCTGCTGGGTGGGGTTCCTGGGTGTTGGGCTGCGATATATAGCAAGGTGGTCCATTCCCCCAACAGGGTCTCTCAGGCTGAGAAGGAATCCGGTGTTTCCATCAGGAAGCCCAGACAAAAGTAAACCAATACCAATACCAAGATCCACCACCGTTTTGATATCAAACTGGTCGCATGGTGGCAAATCTCCCTTTAATTTACGAGGGTTTCAACTGCCTGTGGTGGTGACCACCTAGAGCAGACTTTAGTCTGGCTAGCCTCGGGACTCCAGGGAACCGCAGTGGCTAAACCAGCAAGTCTCTGGAGAATGGAAGTTATGCTAGGGCCTGCAAATCCAATGAAGAAGGGCCATCCAAGCATACAAGCAATTTCTACAGTCAGGACTTTACGAACCATTTATTGTTCTTTTATCCTATTTTTAAAGCAGCTCTGCGCCTAAATTATTAAGTAAAACGTTTAGACTACGATTTGGTGATATGATGGCCTGGAGTGCGCTCGCTCGTTGGGTGAACAACCATGTCGATGAGGCTCCTCTCGAATCCCTGTCTATTATTGTCTCAGGAATGGCGAGAAGTGGTATTGAGGTACATCTACATTACTACCTCACTTTTCTGTATTGCTTAAGTTATTCATTGTACTTTGCCAGGAATGCCGTCCTGCGGCTTTAGTACTTTCGAAACGGGTTCGGCCGGAATTAGCAAACTCTCAAAATGCTTGGCTCAGCACTGTTTACTCTCTAGCGTATTTCCGAGCTCTTTCTCCAGCGTTGGTGGAGTCTGTCCTAAACAAAGATTTCATTTCTCAACTATTGCAGTCGTCCACGTAAGTATCTGAACAAGTTTATGTCAAAATACAGTCACCTGGGTTTAAACGATGCACGTACTATACGTTTGGGGAGATACTGGAATTTTTGATAATTTAGTATTGCTTATGGTCACCGCAACTACGCATGCAGCACAGTGGTCGGAGGCGCCCTGCAAGACACATGTGGTCCATCTACGCGACCTAGGCTCACCAAGCCTTCCATCCTTTGGTTGGCAAATTGGTACCAGACTTGTCTGGGAGGATAGCAGCACTAGCTAGATACACTGTGAGCCACCACGAGCCACCATTGTAAAGGCCAGATATGCATCTCCAACGTTGCTTAATGAAGTCGAATGCATGGCGCATCCCTCATGAATTGACCAACACTGACAGCTTCATCCTTTTATGGTCGCCGTGTATTTTAAATCGAAGACAGTTTCCACATTATGGTATATTGTTTACATCCCATCTTGCAGATCAGTGGGAGACCGTTTATTCAAAACCCTGAAGCTGATGCAGATTAATGCATGTGCTCAAGTAGATCTTGAAAGTACATACTGTGGTCCTAGTTTAGAGCTATCCGATCTGACACCTTTCATCAAGTTCGATGATGAAATGGTAAGTTCTCAACTCCGAAATCTTTTTTCTTAGACTAATCCAGTCATTGTTTAAACCGGAAACGCTACTAATGGTGTTAAGTTTTATAATGTCGTCTATTAGTATTAACGTAGCTGCGAACATATAGACTCGCCTTGCCCGCCTTATCAAGTATGGGAAGAGCGAAATAGAACTATGCAATCGTTTTTTATCCGATGTTGTGTTCAAGATGGGATCCCCATCGACACATATTTCTCCATCTTGTATTGATAAGGTCGGAGTGTTGGTTGATGCGCGGATCGTATGCGAGCAGGTAAGCCTCAGCTTCGTTTATTTTTCTATGAAGTATTGGGAGAAATCGTCCTATTCTATGTCAGAAAATTCAAAGTCAATCAATACGTGTAACCTCTGTTTTTAAATCGCCTATTTTTTAAGGGTAGCACTCGTCTTCTTGCAATAAACAAATGGGGCGGAAGCGTGCCACGGCCCATCATTTTCTTTGGTTGGGGTCAAACGCGTCAGGTTTGGTCATTCTAATGTATTGGTGCTAAGCTTAGTAAATTATTCAGTTTATCTTTTTATTTTACACGAGCCGTTTTTTACCTCTATTGTGCGGATTCCAGCATTTCTTGCATTCGATTCGTTTCCTCGCATACATGATCTACGCAGGTCTTTTCTTGCATGTAGGTTCGGCAACTGCGTGAAGATTTCCCTTTCGTCATGGATGTTGTTAAACGCTGGTCGAGTGGATTCTTTCTGGAGTCCTGAGATAGCCAGACTAGAGTATTTTGACTTGGACAGCAGAGAACGGACGTCTCCCACACAAGTCTGCTACCAGTTTCCCGACTCCGGGTTGGTGAGAGACTTGGTGAGCAGGAGCCTCGTTCGAGCCAGCATCGTACGCGAGACAATCGACATCACTATCAGTGTACTGTTGGACCCATTCAGTCCTGTTGTCTAAATCAAACTAAACAAGCCGATAATACACAAAACGAGCAAGCTCTTGACTCACTGTGGAGACTGATTCTTGCCGTGCACCTCTAATGCCAAAACAGTTTCTTCAGACGCCGAATTCTGCTCTCTTCTTGAGGCTGTTGATGGCATCAAATTCCATGTGACCCCCCTGCAACAGACTAAAAAGGGGAAGGCCGACATACACCAATTACATTACGGAACCCTTATCATTCGTGGAAGTTTCAGTTACGAAGTGTCGGAAACATTCGCTTTATCGTACACCCATCTATCGTACACATCATTTCCTTTCTATTCTCTTCATACCAAATCCTATCATATTGCTTAGCCATTCTTCGTCTACAACATGCGCGTGAAAAAAGTCACAGTCATCAACTATTAATCACCAGCTGATACAGCTGATGAGGGCGAACTATAAATTCGTTGTTGGAGACTCTAACGCCAGATGAGGAACGGGTAACGAAAATCAATATAGGATAGGGAAATACAGAATAGGAGAATGAAGTGGGAATGGAAACCGTCTTGTAGGACCCCAGTCCACAGCAGGTCTCGTCTCCCAACGGCACGACTCATGCGGAGATCGACGATATTCTCAAGAAGAGAAATTGGTGCCTTTTTGACACTTCAGTGGTACCTGGTTTCTGTACTGGATGTAATCACCGTCTTCTTGCGAGGATTCGGTACAGCTCTGAGCTGGAGAATAACACCTGTCATCGGCAAAGAAAACAACAAATCGTGTATAGTCGTGTGTATATGTATGAGGATATTCTCAATAAAATGCTGTTCATATGGCTGGCAGATAAATGTGGACTCAGTCAAGGACTATACGCTGCTTGTCGAAGGACTAAAAACTTATGCTAATTCGCGGCTCAGTTGCACAAACAAGAGGTTCTGACCACGTCCACAACGACTAGGGAGTTGTTCGAAAAAGGAAGGAAACTGAAGCTTGATCCTACTGCAACATATCTAACACTGCTGATAGTAAATGCCACCTGTAGAAGAGCTTTGAAGGAGGATTTACATCGGTGGAGGTGGGAAGACTTTTTGGAAACAACTCAAAAGCGGTCCAGTCTGAAGATGCCTTTGCGACTATAATGTTTCGCTATCCGCCCTAGTGAACCAAGATGGGACCATCACTAGATCACGCCGTGATATGGGGTTGATAATGGAGGGGTTCTACACCAACCTTTTCTGCTCACGAATCCTCGCCCGGACTCCGAAATCTCTACTGGTGGAAGATCGCGCGGTATTCTACCTTCTGCAGTTCGAGTTGCGATAGAAAGCATGAAGAGAGGTACAGCTTCAGGACCAGGCAATATCACCGCCGATTTCCTTAGAGCTGGTGGGCACAAATTACAAGTGATTCTGGCAACCCAAATGATATCTTTCTTACATTTAGAAAGGAAAATACCAGAACAGTGGAGGATCTCGCGCATGGGCGTCATACCCAAGAACGGTGACCGAAAGGATCTTCGTAACTACCGTCCGATATGTTTCCGGTGTTAGAGGTGTGTGTACTGAGTGTACTCTACAAGCTCTTCACAAAGACTATCCTGTCGCGCATATGAAAGACATCAGATGAGACACAATCAGTTGTGCAAGCAGGGTTTCGACAAAGATTGTGCTGCATGGACCACATTCAAACAAACAGTGTCCAGTGTCATCGAAGTTTGTCGAGAATACTTTCGCCTCTATTCCTAACTTCTGTTGACTGTGAAAATGCGTTTGACAACGCCGAAACGAATGCAACCCTATAAGCGTTCGCTGACCAAGGATTGGACCCGTCCTACATAAGAACTCTGTCGGACTGTTATCGGAACTACTCTACGAAAATAGAGCTTTTCCATCGGCCTCTTACCATACACATAGGAAAAGGAGTTCGGCAAGTGACACAATATCGCCGAAGCTGTTTACTGCTGCACTGCATTGCGTAATAAAGTCACTCGATTGGGACGAGAAGGGCATAAACATTAGTGAAAAATTTTTAAATATTCGTTTCCCTGATATCATCTTTATCTTTCTGAGTAGAACCAGTGGAGCAGGAACCATGCTTAATGATCTTAACGAGGCGAGAAAAAAGATTGAACTGCGCGTACGACAAAGACCAGGTTCATGAAGAACCCATGGTGCGAAGGTGAAAAAATCGAACTAAATGGTTCGCTGACTACAGAAACCACCTTGTACGTGTACACTGGACGCTCATTGAACATGGAGAACAACATGAAGTGAGAATTTGACAGAAAACGGAGAGCAGCATGGCTCGCATTTGTGCCACTCAAGGAAGCCACCAACCAACTAACGTAGCCGAAACTCTACGCTCATCTTCTAGATTCTGCAGTCCTCTCAGCACTCTGTTATGCAGGAGAGACGTGGACTGATGCTTCAATCACGTAAAGAAGTCTGTGCACCACCCAGAGTGCTCGAACGTTGTCTTCTGAAATTTAACAGGCACTCACACCGCTAGACGGAATAAGTAGCTCAGATCTTCGAAACCTATCTCAAATCTTCGAAACTTATTCTGTCTTCGGGATCCAGGAGAATATGCAATGATAGCGAAACACAGATGTGACTGTCATATGGTAAGAAAAACCGGCAACAGATGGGCGAAAAGAGCAGTGGAGTGGACTTCTTGAGAATGCAAGCGTCCTCTGAATGATCACCCATTCATGGCTAACGTCAACCATCTGCTCTCGTAAATGGTAACGATTTCAATGGGCCTTGAGGGAGAGAAGAGTGGAAATTATGCTGAGGCCCACACAACATGTAAAGAAAAGCCACCCAACTATTTAAGTAATTAACTAGTGGTGTTGTTAGTAAAACGACTTTCTATATTTGTGCACTATTTAATCACAACATTTCTAGGTTAGTACAGACACTGTACGTTCAGAAGAAAATACATTACTTGGTTGGGATCAACTCGCTTTGAGATTATTACGGCGTAAAGGAATCAAACCAATTGTTGTACTACACAGTGATTTATCACCATTATCCTCCACTGCTGAAAAACTTCAATTCCTCAAGAAGAAGATCACTGATTCAGCATAAATTCAGTTGTAGGAATGTCTAGTAGTTCTATTGTTGAGGTGTTGTAATTTTCCACGCTGTTTCCAAGCTGAATTAAGCTGTTGCTTGATATTTATTAGCGTGATATGCATAGGCAAATTAGAAATTATAACTATATAAATAAAGTGTCGGTCCTAATATGTTAAGAAAACCAATTCTAATGTCAAGACTAACGGAGTGATAAAAATGGATAAGATAAGACAGGAAAAGATAACATCAACTCTCGTGCCGATGATTCTGTTGAATAGTTCAGTCTGTACTAGATTGGAGTCATTACCAGATTAAGCTGTAGAAAAACGCTACCAAGTGCAACATCAATTTCACTGCTAAACCAAATTAATGTAGCAAGTCTAGTGGTTGCTTAACCATGACTGAAGTGTCGTTATTGTTCAAATGACGACTTGTTGTTGAACGATTACAAAGCACAATCACGAGACCAGATATATCTCATCACAAATTTGATAGCACAACCTATTTCTATCCGAATTGCTAGTTTTCCACTGACATACATGTACTTCTGGTAGGTCTGGGAAGTCTTGGTAATATGTTGAGGGAATACGGTTGGTTGTTCAGATGATCGGCTTTGATATTCTCAGGATAGGACGATAGTACAGTTTTCACCGACGAAATAGTGTATCGAACTTTCTATGGAAGAACAACTAAAACTAGAGCATTCATCTTTACCAATGCAGCAGAAAAGAACAATTGGTTGAAATTGTTGAAGAGATCGGTATAAACGGCGTTCTCCACTCTTCGTTAATGTCACTGTGGTAACTATTTTATTCGTGTTTAGGAGAATGAGAGAGCAATTCTTCGTATTCTTGTTGAGCAAACGCGAGATGTTATATTATTCTTTATTCGCGAACAAGCTCACGTTTCGGCGGATTTCGCCTTCCTCAGAGCCTGGAAAGGTCACGTGGACTGCAATCTATTCGGGCAAACACCTCCATAACCAAGCAGAGAAAACGCTAAACCAAGATTTCAATCACAGTGAACACAGAATAGCTTCTTTGCACACTCACCTCTTTCTATGAGTCCTCCACTGAGTATATCGCGTGGAGACCAGCAGCACAGAATTCACATGGAAGCGTAATGTGCCCCTCCCATCAGAATAACAGGTTTACATACTGTCCAATATCACGCGTGATAAGGAGGCATTCTTCCCTGCTGTTCATTTTCGGATTTCTGGAATTAATCAAGAACGCCTCGAGAGTTTTGCGCGCTTGTGTTCTCGATTACTGTGCGAGGATCGTGACCCGTACTTCAAAGTCCTCCCCGTTATGTCTCTGGGTCCCATGCGTGCCTAGTGGGGTATTTGGTTTACGTTTACCGACGGGGTTTTCTTTTGTGCGGACACAGAGTGGTCGACCCGTTTCGCCAATGTATTCCTCTTCGCACGCCTTACAGGAGATCGGATAAACTGTACCCGAGCTCATGCAATCACCGTCTCTACCATTAGGAGAAATTATGGAGTTTTGTGTTGCACACATAGACGGTCATAT